GACTTATAATTTATATTTCTTCCTTTCATGTATTCACTTGACTTATAATTTATATTTGTTCCTTTCATGTATTCACTTGACTTCTAATTTATATTTGTTCCTTTCATGTATTCATTTGACTTATATTTTATATTTCTTCCTTTCATGTATTCACTTGACTTATAATTTATATTTGTTCCTTTCATGTATTTACTTGACTTATAATTTATATTTCTTCCTTTCATGTATTCACTTGACTTATAATTTATATTTGTTCCTTTCATGTATTCACTTGACTTATAATTTATATTTGTTCCTTTCATGTATTCACTTGACTTCTAATTTATATTTGTTCCTTTCATGTATTCATTTGACTTATATTTTATATTTGTTCCTTTCATGTATTCACTTGACTTATAATTTATATTTCTTCCTTTCATGTATTCACTTGACTTCTAATTTATATTTCTTCCTTTCATGTATTCACTTGACTTCTAATTTATATTTCTTCCTTTCATGTATTCACTTGACTTATAATTTATATTTGTTCCTTTCATTTCATGTAATCACTTGAATCCAACCTATATTTCTATTCATAATTACATGCAATCACTTGATTTCTAATTTATATTGATATATTCACATGATATCTAATTTTGCATTTATTCCCTTAATTTCGTGTAATTACTTGACATCAACCTTGTATTTACTCTAACTGTATGTAATCGTTTGACATTGACCTTGTATTTATTGTAACTGTATGTAATCACTTAACATCGACCTTGTATTTACTCTAACTGTATGTAATCACTTGACATCAACCTTGTATTTACTTTAACTGTATATATGCTTTTGACTGCAAATTTTCTTCACACATTTATTTGTAACTTGTATGTTCCCCAAACTTCTATCTTGTGTTTACACCTGTAACTGCATCTATCCTGTATTTAATGTCTGTGATTATAATACAAATTAACTATAGCTACTTCAGATTTTGTTATAATACTCAAAAACCTATAAATTTTGCTTTAAATCAGACCCTATTTTTAGGTCTAAAAATTCACCATGGGGTTCAAACTTCAAGTATTTTATTTTATGCCTAAGTAGTTTTATAGTGTTTGTGTTTGTTACTATGATATCATATTTGGCTACTTCATATTCAAGAATTTCTTATTTTTAGTCTTGTCTTTTAATGAAAGTAGTATTTAGTGCTTTGTACTGTCTTGAAACTTCTTTTAAGCCTAAAATGTTTTTTGTTTTGTTAAATATATATCACTTGGATATATATTTATTATTATACATTTACCTCCTTACTCTAAGTGACATAGTGAAACTTGAGTGAAAACCCAGAAGCTTTTGATGTTTCCTACCTTTAACAGAAGTATCTTGTAGACTTTGTCTTTTCTGGTTAGGTAAAGAAAAAATGATTTCATGCAGAAAATGTTCTCACTGAACTAGAAATTAACCATTTCTTTAATTTTTTAATCCAACTTGTAATAATGAAAATCATTAATGTTATGACAAACTGTCTTTCTTATCATGTACAGCAATGTGTTTCACACTTATCATAGTTCTAAAACTTTGGCCAGAGGTTCAGGATATTCATTCCTTATTCAATAATATATTATTGGGAAATGATCCAGAAGATTCAAGTTATTACCTTTGTGGTCATGTTGTATTTTTAGTTTGTAATTATTCTTTACACGAGACAAACATTTGTCATACATTTTCCATTAACTATGCAACATTTGAGGTTTTTTTTTTTTATACGCCTTGGTAATATTTCATCAATATAACTATTTTTGTTCTAACATAGAAATTTTACTTTGGTTTAATTAATTGTATGTTTCTTCTATTATGGAAGTCTTACTCTGGTTTAACTGTATGTTTGTTCTATCATAGAAGTCTTACACTGGTTTAATTAATTGTACATTTATTCTTACATGGAAATCTTACTGTGGTTTAATTCTCTGCAGCTTGATGAGAATGAATTCAAAAACCTGCTGGAGAAAGTTAGTGAACATACAACAAAGAAAACAACTGTAAAGGTAAGGACTTAATTATCATTGTAAAGGCAAGGACATTAGTATCATTGTAAAGGTAACTCCATTAGTATCATTGTACAGGCAAGGACATTAGTATTATTTTAAAGGCAAGGACCTGACCTTACATTTTTAAGAACAAATGCATATTTTGTTTTTCAAATTTGAGGGGTTTTGTCTTGTTGTTGGTTATATTTGAGCTTTCTGAAGAAACAATGAAAGAAGTGGTCATTGACTCAAGGTAGTTGTTACTCCTGATAGTGCTTAAGATTGATATATGAAAATTATTCTATTTCTCTAGGAAGACTGTATTTCCAAAACATACCTCCTCTCATACTACAGCTATTACTTGACTGCCAGAGTTTCTTCCTTTGCCCATCTAAGCATTGATCTGATTTTTTCTTGCTTGCTATAGTTATTTATACCCCACTTAATTTCCTTTGGCAATATTTGTCTTGTGACATTCTCCGCCTGTGTCAGTGCTTCGTCTATCCCGGCACCGTATATAAGCACCTCATTCACTTTTTCTTGACAAAGCATTCACTAACAGGTTTCTCTGTACTATGACCATTGGAGAGCATTTTTCATGTTACCTAGTTGATTTTTGCAGAAAAAAAAAATTCCTGGATTACTATTTCCGGCACAGAGGCAAATTAGGTCTTATCTTATCTTATCCCACTTCTGATATTTAGCTTTGCTGAACAATTGAGGGGGAGTCACTCACAGTTGAGACTGTCAGTGATCTTATTCGTAGCGAGATAGAGGCATATATTCGGTTTGGTGGTGTTCCTCTAGGGAGCTCTGAGGGTGCAATTGAGGGCAATCCTGGACAATGTAAAGATACTTTAGATACTTTTTTCCTTTATTCTTTTGGCTTATCAGGAGAACGCTTTAGAATTAGCAGCTTTAGTCTCCTTTTCTTCAGTTGGTCTATAAAGTGTGTTATGTTTTGGGTCTCAGTTGTTTTTGAGCCTTCACCTTTCTTAATGGACCCAGCATATCCAGGTGGTTAGGGCACTCGACTCGCAATCTGAGGGTCACAGGTTCGAATCCCTATCCCACCAAACGATACATAATTATAACTTTTTTTTTATAATATATTAAGTTACAGTGGGCGACATTGCCATGGACGTGGTGCCGACATCAAACTGCCATTGATATTTACATCTAGTTTCAAAGTATGTATGCAAATCTTTTTTGGAAAGCATTTCACCTACACAAGTCGGCATGACACTTTGACAGCTTTTGATTTAAAATGCTGACAGTATTAAGTACTCACATAAGTTGAAATAATCATCCACGATATTCTAATGTCGCCTGCTGGCCAGTCAGGTTATACAGAGATGCCAGCAAAACATACACAGTCTACAGATACAAGTTCTGTGTATATTCACTTTTGATGCTATCAATGAATGTCAAGATAGAAGTTTATTAAATATACAACTTTGCTTAATGGATGAGAGAGGAAATTTGTTTTAATTTGTGTGGTTTGAGACAAGTCTAGTCTAATCAGTGATGTTATGGCTTATATGGGAAAATATTCAAACAGGTAGCCTCTTCCAATCCAAATTCCTTGAGCTATCAGTGTCATTATGATAAATAATTAGTATATAGTACAAGTGGCTCAAAATATTTTGCATTGCCTGAACAAAAAATGAGCAAAACATTAATATAACTGTAGGCCTTGCATGCGAGGTGGTTAGGGCGTTCGACTCGCAATCTGCAGGTCACGGGTTCGAATCCTCGTACCACCAAACATGCTCGCCCTTTTAGCCGTGAGGGCATTATAATGTTACAGTCAATCCCACTATTCTTCAGTGAAAGAGTAGCCCAAGAGTTGGTGGTGGGTGATGATGACTAGCTGCCTTCCCTCTAGCCTTGCACTGCTAAATTAAGGATGGCTAGCACAGATAGTCCTCATGTAGCTTTGTGCAGAATTCAAAACAAACCTTTCTTAATGGCTGAAAAGTCTCAGAGTGAATACTTAGTTCCCTCCATTCACTGACATTGTGGTTCATGCAGGGAGGTTTACTTCTCAGTTATGTGAAGGGACAGCTATGCATTGTCTGCCACAGTTGTTGGAACTACATGATTTAGCCTACCACCACCAGGTAGAAACATATTCTGACTCTCAAAGAATACATATGCTCCTTGAAACTTGGGGTTCTAAAGTATAGTCTGTAGTTAACTTGAATAGATCACAACTTTCTAGGAATCGTCTCACCCTATACATGGTTCCAACTTATTTATTATCGCTCTAAACTTTGTTGGAAAACTCAGGATTACCAAGTCCATTAATGACGAGTGGGACCGTTGTTAGCATGTGCATTGGTTCGATTGTTGGTTTCTACATTCACCCCTGTTGTCATTGGCATCTCAAATTTTCTCAGCTCCTAAAAAGACGGTGTTTGGGTGCCTCACAAACTCTCCGATGATCAACTGTTTCCGTGTGAACGTTGCTTCATTTCTTCTGGTTCGTAATGCGCGTGAACCATTTTTGGACAGAATTGTCACTGGTGATGAAAAATGGATTCTCTAGGCAAATATTAAATGCCAAAAACAATGACTCAGTCCTAGACAAAAAACAACTTCTGACCCCAAAACCTTAGACTCTATCCACAGAAAGTGATACTTTGCATTTGGTGGGACATCAAAGGAGTAATTCATTTCAAACTCCTCAATCC